TTTTTGATCCATTTATTTTTTGGAATAAACCTGGAGTACACAGCTGCTGATGTAATGTTCATTCTTAATGCATAGTTTTCAAACATTTACCCTTGAAACATTATACTTTTGAGTTTCAGAATTCTTGATGATCAATATCAGTCAAAATAGAAAAATGGGTTCCCATGATGAACGTTTACGGAACCCAACATTAGTTGTCGTGGTTTCCCATTGGGTAATCCGACGGAACCGAAAAACGGTTACCATGAATTTCTGAAATCCTCAGGCCTGGTCCTGAATTATTTAAATTTTTGCAGCATTTGTTTATAATTGTATGTATATGTTGTTTGTGTTATTATCATATGCAATTGAATAAGTAGACCATTTCGGAATTCGAAATTTGGGACTCTCTCAATGCATAATGGGACTCATACTTTTCTGATCAGTGAGTCCCTGGGACTCGCTGCAGGTAAACTGTAAAATGATCACTGAGAGATTACCGCTTTTTCTGCAGTCAGTGATTGACTTCTATGCAAAGTCATTTCTCAACTTGTGTTCCGTGCCATGTCATGCCTGTTGAGTGTTGATTTACTTCATATTAAGAAACTACTGCACTAAAACATTAATTCATAAATGTATATCATATGATTTTATTTCTTTTTCTCAGTATAAATAACACGTACCCTGACTGTTCTACTCTTTGAATAAAATCACTTCATTCAAGCGTTAGGGAGTGCAAAGGGTTATGATGGAGGTGTGTTGCAAATCATGAACACCTGGCAAGTGGTATGATAGCATTGTTTTATACATGTCCTCGGCTAGGCCTCAATTTCAAAATCAGTCCTTGGTCCTTGGCCTTGGCCTCGGAAGCAAGTCCTTGGTCCTTGGCCTTGGCCTCGGAAAATTTTTTCAAGTCCTTGGCCTTGGCCTTGCCTCGGAAAATTTTCCAAGTCCTTGGCCTTGGCCTCGGAGGCAAGTCCTTGGCCTTGGCCTTGGCCTCGGGTTGCCGGTCCTTGGACACATCCCTGGTTTCTACGGATGGAATTTATTTGATTCCTTCGTGATTTTTGCGGTCCTCGGATCCACTTTATACTTGTGGACAAGAGATTTGAGGCTCTAATCCTTCATTGTGTCCGAGGACCGGCAACCCGAGGCCAAGGCCAAGGCCAAGGACTTGACTCCCAAGGCCGAGGCCAAGGCCAAGGAATTGACTTCCAAGGCCAAGGCCAAGGACCAAGGACCGACCTTTGGTCCTCGAGCCGGTCCTCGAGGCCAAGGACCGGCTCGAGGAACATATCCCTGCCTCTAGTACACTCTGCCCTCCATATAGCCCTCATCTGCCACTGGTCATAGACGTCATCTCACCTACACTATCCTCAAGAGTGTAGATGTACATCACTGTGGTCGGGGTTTTCAGTATTTAGTTGACTGGGAGGGTTACGTTGGAGGAATGTTATTGGGTTTCTTAGTCCCTCATCCTCAACCCTTAGCCTCTTCTAGGAATTCTATGTGAGTTCCCTCACAAGCCGGGAGAGGCACTGGGAGTTTGGCTCATTGGGTCCTTGATGCTGTTCGTTACTTTGGTCCTTTATTTGGTCATGGAGGGCTGGGCTTCTTTTTATTCACGTTCGCCTGAGTTACAGAACGTTAAGTCTTCCATGTCTTTAGAGCTGAGCAGCTCTAGTTTTATTTATTTATTTAAATATCCAATTAAGGATAGCGTGCAGTAATTTCTGCAACACAATATTGACAATCGATAACAGCTGGTAATGCTGCAATCTGGCTTCAATTCACCACCACACCAAATGTGTCACTAAAAGTCCCTATCTCCAAAACGTGTGTATGCATGGGTTAAAGTTTTCGTACTTATACATACTTTTCACCATCAATTAAAAAAATGTTTTTTTTTTTTTTGGAGGGACTAGGTTCTTTGTGCAGTAAGTTGCGTACGCATTTTTCAGACATTTTGTGTATATGCAGCGTTGATAAGTGAGCCCCCTGGGCTTTTTGACCTGTAACAATTTGCCAGATATTAAACAGAACAAAACCTCAAGTAACTGAAGTGACCAGATATGATGAAAATTCTTTTTTTTTTTTTTGGTGGTGCTTTCTTTGTTTCAAGCCAACACGTGAAAGCTGTTTTTTTCACATACATGGCGGCCAATAGGAAACTCCTTTTTCATATGCTTGCCACTATTGTTGAAGTCTTGATTAGGTCTCGTGTGATGATAGCAGTTCAACACATTTCTATGACATTTAAGGTGCATTTTTTTCCATATAAATGTAGTCATAAATTCTGAATAGTACCACCCGTGGTGCATTTTACTGTTCTACAATAACTATAGAGTTTAAGAGCGCAGTGAAGTTTCAAAGGATACAGCCAGAGATTTTAAATCATCAGTACATGCAAAATTGATGGATGGGTTATGTCTTGAACGTGTGTGTTAAACTAACCATCTTCCACTTTTAGATGACCAAAGATATCGGACTCATATCGTTCTTTTTCTGGTACCTCAATGAAATCACTGTCGTCTTCATCATCCTCTTCAACTGATGAAGCCTTAATGTGAGAAGAAAATGTGTTTGAAACATTTAGTCCAAGTAGTAAATCTCCTGATGTAAAGCCATTTTCACATTGCACTCATTCAGTGTGATAGAGCTACACAGCAAAGCGAAACAACCTGCCCATATACACTCAAAGAAAGACTTTTACAGAGCTGACATGACAAGACTACAAGAACTGCAACTGTCTTGTTGTTGTTCATAAGCAACACAAAGATGAAAAATTTAATTTCACGTCAATGTAATTTTAAATAGAACTTGAATTATTGTCAAGGTCTTTCATGTCTGCGTGGCTTGGATTATTTACCTTGCATTATCCAGATTTATTTGTTCGCATGTAGAAGATCACAATATACAATGGTTGGATTGATTGAATTTTGATGTCAATTATTTATTATACGCAAAGCCTAATCTGAAGATGTATTGTCAAAGCTGGGACATTAGGTTAACTTCACTCTTTTTAAAATTTCTTTGTTCAAAGAACGGAAAGTTTTAACCAGTCCCCCAAATGTTATACAAGACCTTGGGAGGGGCCTCTGAAGTTGAATACTGCAAAAGTTAAGAGCTCTTCCTTTATTTTCTCACTTGTCTCCGCACTTCAGCTGGACGCTAAACCTCCTCTGGCATGTGATCTCTCTTCTGCGGGGACCTGAATATCAATTTTCTCCTCTTTTTTTCCCCAAGAACGAATCTTTTCTAGTTTTATTTTTTGGGCTGTGAGCCAAGTGTTCCTTTCGCAAATGCAACAAGCCATCGCGAATGTGACAAGCTAATATGCATGAATTACACCCTGCTTCTATATGCCAGGCCCAACAAAATGTGTGGACGCCTACTGCAAGAACTAGCTGATCAGCGCGCCTCCCAAAGGCTGCCGCAGATCCAAGTTGCTACGCAAATCCATGTGTTCTGCGAGACCACATTTAGCTTTTTCTTTTTAACTTGATTTTTCAACATCTTCCTGACACCTCTTTTTCTTCAACTGACCTGGCCGCTCACTCAAATCAGGGCTTCCAGATCTCATCTCATTTGGTGCCAATTCCAACAAACCGTGACTGCAACATTTGCAGAATTTAACAGATCATGTATAATGTCTGTGCTTTAAATAGGGGTGAGGGGGTTAGAGTTAAGCTTACAAGTCCCATGTTTGTCTGGCATCATGCCATGACCCGAAGAAATTCAAGGATTAATTAGAAAAAAAAGTAATTGAAATCTATAAGTCTGGAAAAGGTTACAAAGCCATTTCCAAGAATCTGAGGCTTCAGCAAACCACTGTCAGAGCCATTATCCACAAATGGATAAAACTGGGAACAGTGGTAAACAATCTCAGGAGTGGTTCTACCAGCTAATATTACGACAAGTGCAACAACGACTCATCAAAGAAGTTGCAAATGTACATAGAACAACATCCAAAGAACCCCAGAGCTCACTGCCCTCAGTTCAGGTCAGGGTTCTCGGTGGTCATAAGAAAGATGGTGGCCAAAAAATGGCATCTATGGGAGAGTTCCCGGGCGAAAGCCACCGCCGTCCAAAAGGAACAGAAAGAACACAAAGGCTCATCTCACATTTGCCATCTTGATGATCCTCAACACGTTTGGAAAAACATTCTGTTGACTGATGAGTCAAAAATGTAACTTTTTGGAATGTTTGCAGCCCGTTACAGCTGGGGTATAAAATGGCACAGCACTTGATAAAACGAACATTATGCCAAAAGTGAATCATGGTGGTGACAGTGTAATGGTCTGTGGCTGCTTTGCTTCCTCAGGACCAGGACAACTTGCTGTTATTGATGGGACAATGAATTCTGCTGTCAACCAGAAAATCCTGACGGACAACATCTAACAATCAGTTTGCGCCCTCAAACTCAAGATGTTTTGGATCCTGCAGCAGGAAAATGATCCAAAACACACCAGCAAGTACACATCTGAAAAGCTAAGAAAATAAAATAATGAGGTTTTAGAGTGACTAGGTCAAAGTCTGGATTTGAATTCAATTAAGATGTTGTGGTGTGACCTTAAACGGTCAGTTCATGTGAGAAAACCCAATTATGGCAGAGAAGAAGCAATTCTGCGAAGAAGAGTGGGCCAAAATTCCTCCTCAGCGATGTGAAAGACTCATCACCAATTATCGCAAATACTTTATTTCAGTCATTGGGGCCAAGGGTGGCAAAACCCATTGGGTTTTTCACAAAGGGCCAGGTCGGTTTGGATTTTCTTGTGTCTAAATAAATTAAATTGGCATTGAGAAATGGCATTTTGTATTTACTTGGGTCATCTCTGTGTGATGTTAAAATTGGTTTGATGAACTGAAACATTTGTGTGTGTGTGTGTGTGTGTGTGTTTATATATATATATATATATATATATATATATATAGCTGGATAGCTCAGTTGGTAAGGCACCAGATTGGCAGACGGGGGTTAGAATCCCGCTTGGGGCAAAATGAGCAAACAACACCATCTAGTGTGGGTCCTTGGGCAAGACCCTTCACGCTAATGCATAACTCATACAATGATGAGAGACAATAATACGAATGGCATGCTGGCTCAGACGTCGCCCGGCCAAACAAGGTCTTGCGTCAGGTGCTGGGGAACCAGAGCGCCTTGATGAAAAATGGGCTCCTGGAACAAAGCGGAGATGGGCGAGATGCGATAACATGTCTCTGTTGGAATGCTACAACTCAAGCAACCGTAGTCAGAGGGGTTACATGCAGAGAATGTGGCCTGAATGGTTACTTCGAAACCCACAGTCACGGTTGACCACGAAACAACTAGTAGCTCAGTGTTCCAACATCCACAAACGGCAATTGCTATCACAACTTGAGATTGATGAGGTGCAACGCAGATTACATGGTGAAGGGCCCCAGGCTGCCAAATCAGAGGAGGAGGTTTTACCAGAGATTGGGAGGCAAGCCCCAATGAATGCAGATGATGAGATTGGGAGGCCAGCCCCAATGAATGTTGCTGAGCGAGGCAGCAACTGACCTGAGAGCGAAGATCATGACGAAAATGAAGGCTGGGCAACCTAGAAACCAATTACAAAGGCTATGTGAAGTACCACCTGAAAGTCTCATGGAAACTGTGAATGAAGCACTGAGGGCGATCCCTACCGTAACGATCACGGAAACCAATGAGCTGATATACGCTTCAGCATCAGTGATCTTCGAGATGCTTGGCTATAAGAGCAACCATGGGAGCCATGAGATTCGTAACCCATCATGGAAAAGATGGTTGGAGGCTAAGATCAAGGCGGCTCGGAAAGATGTGAGTCAATTGAGGGAGGCCCAGAGAGGTGTGATGAAAAGGCCGATACGTGAGCGGTACATCCAGATGACCATATCTGAGAGACTCGAAACTGCCAAACAAAGGCTTCAAGCCTTGTCCAGTCGCCTAAAGAGGTACATGAAAGATAATGAGGCCAGACGAAAAAACAGGCTGTTCGCAACACACCCTGTGAAAGTGTACGCTCAGTGGCAGGGTTCTAACAGCAGAGCAGACCCACCAAGACTGGAAACTGAAATGTACTGGAAAAGCATATGGGCGAAGGAGGTCGCACAGAACAGCAGTGCACATTGGCTGGTGACTCTGAGAGAGGATCACAGCAACCTCCCTGAACAGAACCCAGTTACCATAACAGTGGCAGACATACAGGAAAGAGTCTCAGACATGAAAAACTGGACAGCACCAGGCCCGGACATGGTCCACACCTACTGGCTAAAGAAACTCACAGCACTCCATGGGCGCCTAGCAGCACAAATTAACCAGCTGCTGTGGGATAGGACTCATCCAGGATGTCAAACCGAAGGGCGAACGATCCTGATCATGAAGGATCCCTCAAAGGGTGCAGTCCCATCCAACTATCGGCCAATAACCTGTCTCTCCACAACATGGAAGCTCATGTCAGGCATCATAGCGGCTAAGATAAGTGGACACATGGATCAATGCATGAGCGAAGCACAGAAGGGCATTGGTAGAAATACCAGAGGAGCCAAACATCAGCTCCTGGTTGACAGAACAGTCGCACAAGACTGCAGGCCCCCGACATACCAGCCTGTGCACAGCTTGGATTGATGAACTCAACTCAACTCCATTGTATTTATAGAGCACTTTCAAACAGCCATCGCTGCACACAAAGTGCTGTACATGGAGCAACTAACATATACAACAGTAAAGCAAAGCAACAAAGCAGTATCAAAGACGGTAGAAAGCACCAAACAGTATAACTCAGATCATAATTTGTGTCATGCTGAGTCAAATGGCAAAGAATACAAGTGAGTAAGCCTGTGACTCAATGCCACATACATGGATCACTGAATGCTTGGAGTTGTATAAGGTGAACAGGACCCTAAGAGCCTTCGTTGCAAACTCGATGAGGATGTGGAAACCACACTGGAAGCCAATGGCAAGCCACTTACCCAAGTGTCCATCAAATGTGGCATA